ATCTGTATAATTCTGTAAATGCTAAAGCCACATTTCAGCCTGATGTTTGTTTCTTTTGTCCCAAAATCTTATATTGTGTCTTAGGCTACATTTTTATTCATATTGTTTCAGCCTACTTTTAGAAAAATCAAATCCTATTTTAGTTTAAGCCAGTTTCACAAAAATGTATTAAATTTAACCTTATACATTTTTTAAATTTATAAAAAGGAAAGAAAGAGATTAATCTCAAGTTTAATTACCTATTTCCACCCTCTGCCCCAGAGAAAGCTTGGATAAAAAGTCATTTTTACTTTTAAAAAAAGTAAAAAAAATACTCTTGCACATATCATACACCACAGACCATACCTTCCTAGCATTGTGTATAGTAGAAATTTCTGATATGACTTTTAGATCTACTTGGATAAGGCAAACAAAGCAAAGCAAAGCAAAACAAAAGAGGAAGAGGAAATTTTTTAAAAAGGAAACTAAAAGTTTCTTCCACTGATACTAGTAATTGGCATTAGAGTTGGTATCTATAAGAGGGAAGAATCACACACAAAAAGAGGAGGCTAATAACTTGACCAAAATACACAGATCCACACACTCAAAAAATCATTCTTTACTGGGAATTTTACTGCCTTACTATATCTACAACTTTCTGATTACACGAATACACGGTGAATGTAAACAGCTTTATGGAAACCTGAAAATTATTTTAAGGTTTTAAAATAATTTAGAATTTAATAACTTAAATTTAAGTAAATTATTCTTCTAAATTATAGGTTTGAGAAAGAATGCCTTAATATAAAAATGCATTACCATCTGGGAGGTATAGCAAAAAAAGAAAGTAGAAGTGACCAAGCTCCTAAACTTGAGTACAAATTAACATAAAATACAGAGGACAAACGCACATCTGAAACTGTAATACATGATACAATCAGCAAAATACAGACTAGGGGAAACACTACATGACAAATGGCCCAGTTTTTTTTACATAAAATACAGAGGACAAACGCACATCTGAAACTGTAATACATGATACAATCAGCAAAATCCAGACTAGGGGAAACACTACATGACAAATGGCCCAGTTTTTTTTAAAAAAGTAAATAAATTGCTAGGGGGAAAAAAGAAAGATGGAAAGGGAACTTATAGATTAAAAAACTTAAGAGACATATCAGCCAACTACAAACATGTGAACCTTATTCTGATCCTGATTCAACACATAAAAGATAAAAGAGAACAAAACATGCATGATATTCATAACTATTTGACAATAAGAAATTATTAGTTTTTTAGATGTGATAATAATATGGTGGTCATGCTTTTAGAAAAGAGCCCTTATTTTTTGGAGATCTATAATGAAGTATTTACAGATCGGATGAGATAATGTCTGGTTTCTGCCTCAAAATAAAAAGGAAAAAGGGAGTAGGTGGGGATATAAATGAAACAAGGTTGGCCATGAATTTATAACTGGCAAGATTGGATCATGAGCGTTCATTATAACTCTATTTCCATATGTTTGCATTTTCATTTAACAAGAGTTTTTCTAAAATTCACAAAATGAGTGAAAAGAAGAATCCAAAAAAAAAGAAAAAAAATTTATCAAATATAATCAGAGGATTACTATCCTATACAAAGATCTACAAACGAACAACAAAAGGACCAACCACCTAATTTCTAAAAAAAAATGGGCAGATTTAAACATGAACTTCACAAAAAAAAAGAAATCAAGATGGGTAATAAACATACAAAAAAGAGTTCAACCTCAAAAGTAATAAGGCAAATGACAAGTTAGAACCTCACACATCCACCAGATTTACAAACATTTAAAATGTTTGGCAATATCAGATGCTGGCAAAAACGTGGAGCAACTGTAAACTCACACGCTGCTGACAAGAGTACAAACTGGTTTTCCTTTGGTAAACTATTTTTACATTTTATATAGTAATGTCAACAATGCATATATCCTATGACCCAGCAATTCTACTCCCAGATTTATATCCTAGAGAAATAAGTACACAAAGGTACCAGAAGACATGTACAAGAATGTTTATAGCAGCACTGCTCACAAAAACTCAAAACTAAACACAACCCAAATGGCCAGCCAAAGTGGAACAGATAAACTCTGGTATATTCACACAACGAAACTCTACAGAGCAATGAAGTGAATAAACTGCAGCTATATACAACATGGACAGACTGCAAGCAAAAACAAAATCAATAATGCAGCCAGTGTAAAGTTAACTATATCATGTTCAGAAACAGTCAAAACTAAACTATATGGTATAAGGATATACCTATAAATATTAAAGCTATAAGAAAAACAAGGATATGATTACTATGAAAGTATAAATTATGGTTAGTTCTGGGAGGAAGGAAGGGAGTTAGGTGGGTAGAAGTTACAAGGGTATTCACTTTAAACGATCTGTTAAATTCTACTTTTCTGTATGCATATTGCTCAGTTTAAAAAAAATGTCAAAGCGACATAAAAGTTTGTATTTTTTAAAAAAAAGCATCTTTTCTCAGGAAAGTACTTTAGGACATCCTTCACCAAAATGAAATTGTAAAAGGAGAAAGATGACGACACAGGATCACATGATAGAGAAGCAAAGGAAATCCCTCTAGGAAGATTATAGAAGAAACCTGAAGAGAAAGATGACGACACAGGATCACATGATAGAGAAGCAAAGGAAATCCCTCTAGGAAGATTGTAGAAGAAACCTGAAGAACAAATAATTCAGATTAGAATAAGGCTAAAGGCTCCAGAAAGGTATCTCCAAGGAGGAAAAAGAAAAACCAACAGAGTACCTGAGTGTTTTGAGTACTGAGCAGAGATTTACAGTTTGAATGGACAGTAATAGGATAAGGAAACAACTAAAGAAGTCAATTGCTACACCTAGGGAAAAGTTGTGAATATTCACCACAGTCACAGGACTGAAACACTAAATAATGATTTGACTATAAAGCTAATATAACTATATTAGAAAGATGCAGGGACGGGAAAGACATGCAGTAGTGGCTAATTAGAGCTGAATCTTCAGCTTTCACTGAAGGAATTCAATAGACATCTCAAACTGAAAATTCAAGAAATAGTATAAACATACACTTTAGAAATGTAAAGAAAGGGCCGGCCCGGTGGCGCACTGCTACAGTGAGCCGCTTGGGAGCGCGGTGGCGCTCCCGCCGAGGGTTCG